CCTGCACACTCTCTCCCACCCACATTGCCCCCCTTTAGTTCATGTCCATGTGTCATAAGTTCTTTAGCTTCTACATTTCCTATACTATTCTTGCCCTTCCCCTGTCTATTTTCTACCTACCACCTATGCTACTTATTCTCTTTACCTTTTCCCCCTCTCTGCTCTCACTCCCCTGTTGCTAAACCTCCATGTGATCTCCATTTCTATGGTTCTGTTCCTGTTCTAGTTGTTTGCTTAATTTGTTTTTGTTTTTGTTTCAGGTGTGGTTGTTAATAATTGTGAGTTTGCCGTCATTTTTCTGTACATGTTTTTATATTCTTTTTCTTAGATAAGTCCCTTTAACATTAAATATAATAAGGGCTTGGTGATGAACTCCTTCAACTTGACTTTATCTGAGAAGTACTTTATCTGCCCTTCCATTCTAAATGAAAGCTTTGCTGGATAGAACAATCTTGGATGTAGGTCCTTGCCTTTCATGACTTGGAATACTTCTTTCCAGCCCCTTCTTGCCTGCAAGGTCTCTTTTGAGAAATCAGCTGACAGTCTGATGGGAACTCCTTTGTAGGTAACTGTGCCCTTATCTATCATTGCTTCTAGGATTCTCTCCTTCATTTAAATCTTGGCTAATATAATTATAATGTGCCTTGGTGTGTTCCTCCTTGGGTCCAGCTTCTTTGGGACTCTCTAAGCTTGCTGGACTTCCTGGAAGTCTATTTCCTTTGCTGGATTGGGAAGTTCCCCTTTATTATTTGTTCAAATAACTTTTCCACTTGTTGCTCTTCCTCTTCTCCTTGTGGTACCCCTATAACTGGGATGTTGACATGTTTAACGATGTCCTGGAGGTTCCTAAGCCTCTCCCCACTTTTCTGAATTCTTGTTTCATCATTCTTTTCTGTTTGGTTGTTTCTTTCTGCCTTCTGGTTCACTCCATTGATTTGAGTCCCAGTTTTCTTCCCATCACTACTGTTTCCCTGTACATTTTCTGTTATTTCACTTAGCATAGCCTTCATTTTTTCATCTAATCTGTGACAAAATTCAACCAATTCTGTGAGCATCCTGATCACCAGTGCTTTGAACTGTGCATCTGATAGGCGGCCTATCTTTGTCACTTAGTTGTATTGTTCTGGGGCTTTGATCTGTTCTTTCATTGGGCCATTTTGTTTTTGTTTTTGTTTTTTGTCTCGATGCACCTGTTATGTATGAGGGGCAGAGTGTTAGGTGTTCACGAGGGTGGGGCAACCCAATTGCCAGGTTGCGGTGCTGTATGTGGGTCAGGGATCAGAGAGGGAACAATAGCTCTTGCTCCACTCTCTGTCAAATTTCAGTCCCTTCCACCACTTCTGCCAAGCAAACTGGGCTGTTCTGGTGCTAATTCCCATGTGGGTGGACTTGTGTATATTCTGGGACCCTGAGGGTTTCTCCAACAAACTCTCCTGTGAGGCTGGGAGAGTCTCCCAGTACCTCAACCCCCACAGGCATTTTCAATTGGTGTTTTGAGGCTTTATTTCCCTGTGCTGGGACCCTGGGTTGTGCAGTCTGTCTCATTCCCCAATTTTGCCTGGTTTATCTGTGTGCAAATGCAAGACTGCCCAGTCAGCCAGCTGCCTTGCACACTGTGCCCTGCTCCACAATCACAGCCTTGCTGGGTCTGCCCGCTGCCACCCCGAGCCCAGGGTCCACAAGCCATCGCTTTTTTTGCCGCGACCCCTCTCCACCCAGCTGCCTGACTCCGTCCCTCCTAGCATTCTGGATGAACGTATCTATTTTAACTCCTTGGTTGTTGGACTTCCATACAGTTCAATTTTCTGTCAGTTCTGGTTGTTTTTTTGTTTCTAAATTTTTCTTGTCCTTATTTTGGTTCTGCGAGGAGGCGCAGTGTGTCTACCTACGCCTCCATCTTGGCCGGCAGTCTAAAATCTACTTTTTTATTATTGTTCAAGTACAGTGGTCTGTCTTTTACCCCCACCACTGCCCCCGCCCCAGCCATTCCCACCTTCCTCCCCTGATTCTACCCCACCTTGTTTTTGTCCATGGGTCCTTTATAGTTGTTCCTAAACACCCTTCACCCTTTCCCTCCCATTTTCTCTTCCCACCTCCCCTCTGGTTACTGTCAATTCTTAATTTCAATGTCTCTAGTTACATTTGTTTGCTTATTTGTTTTGTTGATTAGGTTCCACTTATTTAGAGTAAAATGTATTTTAAAAGTTGCTAGTGCAAAACAGACAAATTTACTTTATTTATTTATTTTTTAAAAGATTATTTATTTATTTATTTTTAGAGAGGGAAGGGAGGGAGGTAGAGAGAGAGAGAGAGAGAGAGAGAGAGAGAGAGAGAAACATCAATGTGCGGTTGCTGGGGGTCATGGCCTGCAACCCAGGCATGTACCCTGGCTGGGAATCGAACCTGTGACACTTTGGTTCACAGCCCGCACTCAATCCACTGAGCTACACCAGCCAGGGCAACAAATTTACTTTAATTGTCTGAAAAATAGGCAGGTGAATTTTCAATAGCATCAGTAACAGAAGATGGTGAATGCTTTTCAATGCTTTAAAAGAACTATCAACCAAGAAATCTATACACTGTGAAAAAGTTCATGGATATTTCAGATAAACAAAACTGAAAATTTTCTACCAGCAGACCCTCACTAAAACAAACAAGCACACAAAATAAAAACAAAACCTATCAAGGCTGTTTTCAATCACAAGAAATGTATGTCAATAGTACTTGAGAAATGCAAAAAGAAGTAAGAGATCTTCTAATCTGGTCAAAATGACTATGAACATACAAAAAATTCTAAAATCTGCAAAAAATAAACTTCTACAAGAGTTGGCAGTGATGATTGCACACAAAATTACTTTAAAAACAAATGGGCTCACTAGTCATTTCTGCCATCCCAGGATGACCATTCAGCAGTTAATTGCAGAGCATAAGGTCAGGAAAATAACATGTGTCATCCTGAATGAATTCTGGATAAGAAGAATTTCATAAGAGATATAAATATGTTCAAGATTGACATACAACTGTAGAATAGGTTAATTTTTTGAGCTTCCTCCTACTTCACTTCTCCCTCCTTCTAAAGTCTCTTTCTCTCTACCATAGTCTTTTAACAATTAAAAGACTATGGCTTTTAATTAATGACAGATAATGCCCACAGCAAAAATTTATGATATGGTAATAATAACACTTGAAAGGGTGATTTTGATTATTATGTAAAACAGACTATGTCAAGTGCTTGCAAAGGGCTGGGCATTTAATTAATTGCCAAATGAGCTCTTTTGGTTTTAAAAATTAAATTTAAAAAGTAGGAAATGATTGCCACAGAAATAAAATTAGTTTTCAATGAATAATAATGTAAGAGATTAAGGAGGGTCACACAGGGACTTCAAAGGTACTAGCAAATTTTATTTAAGCCAGAGAGGAGATACACTGTTGTTTACTTAATCAGTGTTCCCTAAATTATACACAAATGTTATGTGCATTCCTTTTTAATGCACCAATAAATAAAATCAAAATTCAATGTTTTCTACAACATACAAGGTCCTACATATTCTAACTCCTTTTACCTCTTTGATTTTACCTCTCACCTTTCTTTCCTCTAAATCACTTCTCTCTAGCTTCTATGCCCTACATACTGTTTCTGGAATATGTTTCAGGGTGTTTGTACTTGGTGTTTCTCTTATCTAGAAGGCTCTTCTGCTCTATTTCTACTTAGCTCCCTGTCTCATTTAATTCAGAATTTTCCTTAAATATTACCTTTTAGAATGGGCATTCCCTAACCAACTTATTCCCTGTTCCTCACTTCACTGCATCTCTCTGTTATCATAAACTGCTAGAGTTTGTCTCTCAGCACACATATCAGATATATTACTCCTGAACAACAATAATTTAAAAAAGAGATATTACTCAAATGTTGACACATTATATAATATATCAAAAGATCATATTTGTTATACTGTCACCTCTCTCATCAGAAAAGTCTGTATGAGAAGTTGTCAAGTTGATAGTGAAGGATACAAGTTTCTCAAAATTCTAATTTTCACTTAAAGCTTACATTTTAACATTGGCAACAAATAGTGACAGTTATTTTCAGTGACAGGTTCACTGCACTGACTTTTGAGAAAATGTTTGTTAAATACCCAAGTCTGAATTACCAGTTTGTCTGCCAGTTGCTCCTTCAAGTAAAAATAGTATTCCATAAAAGAATGGGTAGATGAACTCACAAATCAAAGAATCACACAAGTACCTTTTTCCTTCAATACAACCAGCCATCATACTTCAGGGTGCAGCAAAAGTACTTTGTGTGAACTTCCTATTTTGTCACACTGAATATTAAAAAGAGAGGTACCCAAGGGTCAAGATTTAATAAAATTAATTTTTACTATTTTATCAAGGATATCCTTTTTTATTTTTTTTAAAGATTTTATTTATTTATCTTTTAGAGAGGGAAGGGAGGGAGAAAGAGAGAGAGAGAGAAACATCAATGTGCGGTTGCTGGGGTCCGCGGCCCCCAACCCAGGCATGTGCCCTCACTGGGAATCGAACCTCTGACACTTTGGTTTGCAGCCCGCACTCAATCCACTGAGCTATGCCAGCCAGGGCTTTATTTTATCAAGGATATCCTTAAGGTGAGCACATTGCAGAGGAATGCAATGTCTTTGAGGTTACTATCTTAATTTATGCCAAACAGGCAGCAATCTATTCACCATTTTTACACCATCAGTGTGAATGTCAATACTGTAAACTACAATTTGCATCTTAATATTCATTCTGACACATAGCCATTGAAAAGGTCTTAGGACTTCCAGGGGCCTGAGGACCACGTTTTGAGAACTGCAGTGCTAGTCAAACAGTATTTTCCCTGAAGGTGATTTTTAACTGTTTAATTTTTTAAATTTAAAATATGGGCTCTCTTTCATAAAACTCATTGAAAATACACACACACATGCACACGCACACACGCAAACACAGTGAAAAAAGTAAGGACTAAGTAAATGACTCACCTGGAATTTGTTCATTTTCTACTGCTCTTGGGAAAGGATATGCTATGAAGCTAGCACAGCGAAAGTTGGAAACAGAAGTCATAAGACCTTATCTTGCAGCCTCAGGAATCACCTGTGAGAAATTTACAGACAACAGTTTAGTAAAAGGTAAACCTCTGGAAAAACAGTCTTCTGAGACCTGAGAAGGAATAGGAAGGACCATGATAAAGGAGTAACCACCTGTTCTCTGGTGACTCTGAAAAATCTTGGTGACTTTGGGATATTTTTGAGTGAATCTAAATATTTTTTCCTATTGGCTGTTTTGAAAATTATGTGTCTGTTTATTAAATAACTCAAAAGAATTGAAAACGTAAACATCCAATAATAGATTGGCTAAGCAAGGCACATTATATCCAAAGTATGGAAATCATGTTGGTATTACAAAGGATAGTGAAGAGAAATGTTTAAATTACAAGTCATAACAATTTTTTCTTATTACTATTACAAACCCCACAAGTTTCAGAGAGTCTCCAAAGCTCTCAAAAATAAGATGTTTCATCTCTCTAATTTGCAGTTTCTCAAAAATCACTTCAAGAACCTTGTGTTGACTTAAATATAATATAGTGGAACTGTTCCATGTTAGGCTCTGCTATTAAGAAATGTAGTGATTGTCTTATTTTCAATGTTATCTTTAACATGAGAAAGAATTAGATAATTTTGAACAACCCTTTATGCACTATTCTGATTCTTTAAGTCCTGACCCAGTGCCACAAAGCCAGACAGTACCATGGAATTCACTGTCCCCTCCAAACTTTGGCTAGGCCTAGGGTAAAATTTAATTATGCCTTAATGAATTTTGACATGGCCATCTAATCTGCTGACAATAACACAAACATAACTTCTAAAATAACAATTTGGTGCCATAATCCCATATCATGTACTTTGTGCAGGTAGCAAAAATTAACTAGATGCCAGGATGCCCATAATGATTAGATCCTTCCCACATGTAGTACAAACCACTTCTAGTTAGTTGGCTTGGTGCTTACAAAATGCTTAATTAGTAAGCCCAGCCAATTATAGGCGTTATGATATCACTTTCATAATATGGTGCATGGATGAAATTGCAGTTTTCATTTTTAAAATTTCTGTCTCATTTCCCATCTTGCCTGGATAAGATGGATTCCCAGCTTCTCCAGTAAAACTTAAAAGTCAGGGCTTAAGTTATGGTTTTGATTTACATGTTTAACAATTTTGTGAGAATAAAAAGAGATTGGAGAATGCAGGTATAACATTTTGCCACAAGAGTTTGGAGGAAGCTTCAAAAATTTTTGGAAATAAAACAGACATGGTAAGATCAGTGTGCCCTAATTCACTACAGTTCACAATTAGGTTCTGGAGCAATTACTGTACTAAATACAATCCAAGACTTGATTTTAGTGTGGGAAACAGCATGAATTACAGAATAAAACAAGAGAGAATTTAAAGCCTATATGCTAATGCTGGGTAAAACAATTTCTCTCTCTGAAGTTTTGGTATTCAAATTTATTAAATGGAGGTGGTTAATACCAATCGAAAGGATGGTTATGATCATCACAACGATTAAATGAGCCAAAAATAAGGATCATCGTACCTTGTAACAATAAAAACAGCTTGCCTTTATTGAGTCATTACACTTTAAGTATTCTACCCTATTTAATACAGAAAACAACCCGAAAAGGTTAGTATTACCAATTTACAGATGAGTCACTGAATCCTACGAAGATTAATTGTTGCCTGGTTAATGGCAGGCGCCAGATCTGAGCCCAAATCCCTGGAGCTTCACAACGCCGGGCTCCGGGACGTGACACAGACAGCCGCTCCTGTGAGTAGTCCCTGCGATTCCCCGCAGCTAGACCTCTTGGGTTGCTCCTTTCTCCAGGTCTAGAAAGGTGGCTTCCGGGGAGAAACGGGCAAGCGGTTAACCGGCCTTGCGCCAGCCACAGCCCGGCTCCCTCCTCAGTGCCCCTCAGAGGCCAGCCTGAAGCTCAGAGCGGGTGGCAGCTCCACTTTCTCCGACTCGGCGCGCAGCTGCGGACTCAAAGCTCCCCCTTCCCGGGCTGGATGCCCCAGACAGGCCTTTGACACACGTGCCGGGGGCTTGGCCTGCACTACCGGCCGGCCACGCAGAGTCCAGGCCCTGTCCTGTGTAGCCCCCGTGGAACTGGAAACCTCGCGTCCTCTCCCCACTGCGGCGCCACAGAGAAAATGGCGACCCCTGAAAGGAGGTGGAATTGATGTAGCTCAGAAGTCTTCCCACGCCCCGCTCTGGATTACCATCCCCCTAGCTGCCAACTCATTTCATATGACGTAAGGAGGTTGGCTTTCTCCAGGGACCTGAGTGTCTGCTGCTGGCATTTGTAGGCAGCCTAGTGCTTCCACTGCTTTCTCATACTGACAGCTGATGAGAACTGGCAACTCGCAATCAACTACCCTGTGGTGGTGCAATGAATATTAATAAGTTAAAGAAAGTACTTGAGACTAAGTAAATTAGACCAAAGAATAATACCCTGTAACAGCTGACTTTATCTTAGGAATGCTAGCTTTTGAAGTTATTCAAATTATACGAAAAACATGTAATAGAGAAAATTTTGTATAAACAAAATCAATACTAACGCCACACATACTGAAACCAGAAAAGCCAGTGTTGGTGCTGCTTGTCATCTACCAGACCCAATAAGCAGAGACAGGAATTGAGTTTTGATGGGTACTTTATTCAGATGGCCAGCCATCTGAGAAGATGGTGGGTTTGTACCCTCACAGAGCATCTTACATTTCCTTTCAAGCCAGCTTTCTTTTTTTATGGGGGCAGAAGTATAGGTAAGGGATTTGAGAAATTCAGGAAAGAGGTTAATCAGATAAAAGCTGCAGTCTGGCAATTTTCCTAACATCCTTTTATCCACTTACAGGTCATTTTCTTTATCCATGTCCTGGGAGTGGACTGTCTCTCCCTGGAACACAATGGCTTGGATACCACCTTGATTTCTTATGGTCTCTTATGGAGCACAAAGGTCAATAGGTTGTGATCTCCTGGAGCCAGTGTGGGCCCTACTTGTAGTCCCTGAAACAATACATTGACAACTAGGCTTATTAACTATTACATTAAATTAAACTTTTCCAACTCTTGAGTTCCCTATCATTCCTCCACTGTTAAACAATCTTACTTCTATGGGATCTGTTTCATATGAAAGTACTCATTTTGTTGTTGAGTGTGTATCTTAGCATTAGACCTTAGGCTTAGGAATACATTTAATTGCAGATCCACATAAAGGGGCACTTTGTATGCAACAACAAGCTATGATGAAGCAAAACAGTTTTTAGCACAGTCAACAAGAGTTGCACTCTCTTCAGCTTGGGCCTACATTGGTGGTTTTTAAGGAAAACATTTCCCTGTCCTTTGGAGTTACCACAGGTCCCCGATTATAAATATGAGTAGGTTATTTTCTCATTGATATGCTCAAACTGTATAATTTCAAAGGCTTTCTAGGGGAGTACAGACACCATAAGACATGTAGTACAAGTTTGTTCAACATAAGTTCCTCCTGCAAGACAAAATTCAGAGGTGTTTAGAATATTTTGCCAAATATACCCAAATATTTTTATCTCATTTGAAGGAACAAGTTCTCCATAACATAGGGTTAAAAAATAAATAATAAAAATAATGTAAGTCATTTGTTTTTGAAAGATGGCTTTCAGGACTTCTTGAGGTTCGGCAGTCCATTGTTCCTCTCGTGATTTCTTTACTCTGGTGTGATGAATACAAGGTTTTATTTCTGCCAACTTCACCATGGTGCGGGATGGTGAGGAGTATATCCCAAGGTTTAGTCTATTTTTCTTCTAGTTGGCTTTCTGGAAATCCTGTCATCCAAGTCTTGAGTGCACCTTATCTCCAGTTTCAAAGGAATGTAGCCATACCTGTGGGAGAGAGGTCTCTAATACAAGAAAGGTCATAAGCTATAGGTAAGTTCTGACTTAAATGTTATAAATAGTTCTTTACCTTCACTTCTTGATCTATATACATATCTTCCACCCCAATCATAACCTGAAATTGCTGCCTATACACAATTTCCTAAGGACTCAACTGAATCCCACTTTGAGGAGCCACCCTTATCCTGAGCCGGGCAATAGGTAAAGCTTGATCCCAATGGAGATAAATTTCTTGACACAGTTTGGCTATATTTTTCTTCAAGGTGTAACTCATCTTCTCTACCTTTCCAAAAGCCTGAGGTCTCCATGCTATGTGGAGTCTCCCCTTGATTCCTAAAAATTTACTAACCTTCTGTGTGATTACTGGAAAAAAAGCAGGTCCATTATCATTCTGGATGTTGCCAGGGAGGCCAAAGCAAGGGATTATTTCTTTCACTAAGGCTTTCACTACTTTGATGATATCTCTGTTCTAGTAGAATGGGCTTCTACTAATCCTGAAAAGGTGTCAACAAAGACTAACAAATATTTCCACCCTCAGACCCTTGGCATCTGGGTAAAGCTTATTTGCCAGTCCTCAAATGGTCTCTGTCCTTTGTATTGTTTACTTTCTTTCTTTTGATGTGGATCTGTCTTGGGATTATTCTTCTGGCACAAAACACAACTGACAGCTATATTTTTTTGTGGCACACCAAAAAATATATTTTTTACTAGTCTTATAAAAAATTGGTATAATTTTGATTCATTCACACCAGACAGCTAGCTATTGTTGTGCTGACTGTTGTCTTTTTTTAATAAAACACTTTTAAACTTTATCGTTGTTCAAGTACAGTTTTCTGCCTTTGCTCTCAATCTCTCCCCCGCACCCCATCCACACCTACTTCCCTCCCCTGATTCCACCCCTCCTTGTTTTTGTCCATGTGTCCTTTATAGTTGTTCCTGAAAACTCTTCACCCTTTTCCCCACATCATCCCCTCCCATCTCCCCTCTGGTTACTGTCTGTTTGTTCTTAATTTCAATGTCTCTGGTTATATTTTGCTTGCTTATTTGTTTTGTTGATTAGGTACCAGTTAAATGTGAGATCATATGGTATTTCTGACAACTATTTTTATATGACTTTAGAAATTCCAGGACCTGTGAGCCACCATTTAATATATGTGGTTAATGAGTCCCTTCCATAGTGTGTGGCCTCAAGCAAATACTTCATGATTGGCTCTACTAAATGTTCAGGAAGCAATATAACTTCTTTTTTATTCTTTCTCCATCCACTATCAGCAGCCTTTTCATCAAAACTCCAGCTCTCACCTTTCTCCAAGTCTGCAGTAAAATATTCAGGGTCAAAATGTGACAAATCTAGAACAGGTACCAAAGGCATTATAAATGTTCCTTCAGCCAGATTGTTTCCTCTAACCACTTCAGTGTCATTTTTTCTGATTTCTGGGGAAGTGCATAACTGCCACCTATAAAGGTACCTGAAAAATCTCTAATAATTTTAAAATTTCTGCTGCATGCTTATTCTCCTTTTTATTGGAAGTTAAGAGTTCTTTTTCCTTCCAGGTGGAACCATGTGGTTGCAAAATTAGGAAACCTTACCTTGAGTCGATATACACATTAACTCTCTTTTCACACAACAATTCCAGTGCCTTCATCAATGCAACCAGTTCAGTTTTTTAAGCAGAAGTTCCTAGCAGTAAGGCCTTAACCTCTACTATTCCTTCAGGAATCACAGCTGCATACCCACACTTTCTGTTTCCTTTGTCCATATAACTGCTTCCACCTCCTTATGGAGTTCAGTCTGCCTCTTCTAGAGGATGGTCCTGTAAATCAATTCTGCTAAAATAAACTTCATCAATTACGTCAGCACAGTCATGTATTAGTGTAGCCAAGTCTGGCTCCAGGAGAAGAGAGGAAGGGTTTAACTTATAATTTTGAGGGAGATGTTTGAATTGTCAAGAGGAATGGCTTGGTACATGCCCATTCTTTCAGCAGTGAGCCACAAATTTTCCTTTTGCTCCAGCTAGTTCAACACTTGGTGAGGTGCATAAATGATGATAGGCTATCCCAAGAAAAATTTTCAGATTCTTGTAAGAGCTCACAGGTGACTGGCACAGCTCTCAAGCAGGCTGGCTGCCCCTGGGCAGTGTAATCTAGTTTCTTTGACAAGTAAGTGATGGGTTGTGAAATGTCACTAAACATTTGGGTGAGGACTCCTAGGGCAATTCCCTGCCTTTCATGACTGTGTAGCTGAGAGTGCTTTACTAGGGTTGGAAGCCCCAAGACTGGTATAGCAGCCAGGTGTACCTTCAGGGACTCAAAAGCTTGGGTGTGCCCCTTCATCCATTCTGAAAGGATATATGTACTCCTTCATCCATTCCAAAAGGATATATTCTGGTCCTTTCAGAGTTTTCCCAGTTTAACAGATCTGATGTTGAAAACAAAGTATGTGCCCAATAATATCCCACAGGGATATTATTTATCCCACAGGAGTATTATCCCACAGGGTTTTAGCACAGGGTATTGCCCTGCTCTGGTAGGGGCTTTCCTCCACTGAATTTATGCCAGTTCAGGCTCACTTTCCCCAGTTTCCTCAGCTGAGTAAGGAGGAAGATCCCCCAGGGCTGGAGAGTCTATGGGAATGCCGACCATGCTCCTAGAACTCATAATATCTAGATTTTCCTGGGCCCTTTCCTCTGAGCTTCTGCTGTCTTTCACAGGCAAATTCCCTTTTCTCTGGACCATTAATCTATTTCCTTTTAATCCTGCATCATGACTGTGTAAACTCATGAAAGATTCTAGGTAAGGCATTTTGTCCCACTTCCCTGATCTTTGATAAAACAACTCTACTTAGAGTATAATACAGTAATTTAAAGACCCATTCAACAACCAGCACTCCCCCGAGTTTATATTATTCAATACATAAGTCAAACAGTATTACAATAAAAACCACTTTCTTTTTAGTCATAGGTTTATAAGTGTAGGTCCACCAATTAGCTAAAACTTGCCCCAAAGGGCTACTTCCCGGAATGAAAGCTTTCTCCCCAGTTCTGCCAGACAGAACCCCGTAATGTCACAAAAACCAGAAGGCCCCTTAATTAAGCCAGAATACACCTTTTCACCAGATAGAGGTCTGTAAACCAGAAGGCACCTCAGTTACTGATGATCTAAGTTGTAACCCAGGATTGTAACCTGAATCAGAAAGTGCAATGATTCAATCAAAAGTGAAGACAACAAGAAGTGCTGAGAGTCAGAGGAGGAGTCTCCAAGTGAAATTACTTTGCAGCTGCTAGGGAGTCTCTAAATCCACACCCAAGGGCCTCCCAGTCCAGGCA